GACGCACTCCGACTTCGAAGGAAGTTCCAGGTTTGTCGACTGGTATGTTGGGGAGGATGTGGGTCTCTTCCTGTTCTCCGCCCAATGGGTGCCCTGAAACCCAAACTGGGGAAAACCCATTTCAAACGCTATACGTCTGTGTTTCGTCGGCGTCTGTAGCTCTGGTATGGCGAAGGCGCTTTGTTATTCCATTGTACCGGGTTCGATCCCATCTGCGGGCGATTTGGTAGCAGGCCGTCTTGCGTTGGTTTCAGCGTTGGTATCGACATCCGACCATTTAGTGAGCAATGGCAAACTACTTAACGTAAAATTGTCTAGTGAAATCACAAACAGCTAACAATGCGGGGGTTGATCTACATTTAAAAAATTCATTTAATATGTCTTCAGATATCTTCTTCTTCTTTGCGTTCACTGGATGTAAACTCCGGCGGAAAGTTCTGGTCGTTCATCCACTTCTCGACTGTAGTCTTGTTCCAGAACCTGAGTCTTGTGTGCACATCCGTTTTACAGATCTGGCATACTTGTATGCAGACTATTGGTTTTTCGCCTATTAAGCTGATGCACCCCAACTTTCGAGGAAACATCCCTAATTAATAAACTCTTACTGCTTGTGAAGAGATGAGAAGGGGTAGAAAGAGGAGGAGGGGGAGAAGAAGAAGAAGAAGAAGAAGAAGAAGAAGAAGAAGAAGAAGAAGAAGAAGAAGAAGAAGAAGAAGAAGAAGAAGAAGAAGAAAAAGAAGAAGAAGAAGCAGAAGAAGAAGAAGAAGAAGAAAGAGGACCAAAACGACAACAAGAGGAAGAGGATTTACAATGGATACACAGATAAGAAACCAACGAACGAACAACTACTTATAAAATGTTAAATCGCCAGTTTAGAAAAACTGCATGTTAAAAAAAAAAAAAATAGAACAAGAAGCAGGCCCACACAATCACAATGGCAAACAGATGCAGATCATTCTCCCCAACAGCTCAAACATAAACAGTATCATGTTTGGTTAAACTTGATTTAACCTGGGGTAAGAGTAAGGGAGACAGCTTGGGCCATTTTTTTGATGCTCTGAACTTCAAACACGCAGTCTGCTGCCACTACCTCGGGTCCAGTTACTGCGATGATGACCTTGATCCACTATCTAGGGTCCAATTACTGCAATGACGACCTTGGTAGTTTATGTTTCTGCAGTTTCCTCCGTAACGTTCAGTGACACATGTGTACACGTACACAGATTTATGTACACATACACAGATTTATGTACACAATATCATTATTATTTTCATCATTATCTAAGGCTGTCATTGGACATTACTATTGCAGACATCTTCTCATTGCACGGATACATCCGAGAGTCCACAGACAATACTGGACATTGTTAGATTTATCCACAATTCTCTCTCTCTCTCTCCCTCTCTCTCTCTCTCTCTCTCTCTCTCTCTCTCTCTCTCTCTCTCTCTCTCTCTAGTTGCACCCCACCAGGACATCACACAAGCGTAAACACCAGGTGACACAAAATGCCACCATGCGGATTAGGATAACCCGTGGATAGGTCTCAGAAACCACTTTCAGCCGTTAGGCCATATTTATGGCACGGCTATATTCAAGGCCCCCGGCAAAAGCCAGGGTGGGACTTCAAATAATAAAAAATTGCATAAACAAAATGAACATTCTCTCGACATCATGTGGTAACCACTCGATAACTGCGTAAAATTTGTTTCTTTAACGTATCACCCGAAACAGAATCGACAGTCCTTAAAATACTACTAAGATTCAAATGAGCAAATAAAGCATTAATGCTTAAAAAAAATCGATTAGGAGAACAAGAAAGAAATCGACCAAGAACAAGACGTGGTGACGACATTAAAGTATTAAAAGTTAGTTGCGTTCCCTTACAGCCGCTGCAGAATCAACCACATCATTTTTTGGCTGTTGTGATTTGTCTAGGCAAACGTTAAGTACAGCAGTTTGCCACTGCTGACTGAAAGGTCGGCTCTTGGTACTAATGTCGACACCAACGCAAGACGTTCTGCTGCCAAATCGCCTGCGGAAGAGATCGAACCTGGCACCCTGGTATTATAAAGCGCATTCGCAACGCCTAAGCCACAGTACACTGTACTGCAGCTATAAGAAAGGGCGTTCATTCGGCCGACCCTGTAAGTCTATGGAAATTGTGTTTCTGTCGGGGGCAATACAAATTATAACCTTTTTTTAACAAGATTGTTTGTCTAGATATGCACTCTGTATAATAAACAACTCAAAGACGAGAATCAAACAGCTATCAATCCCGAAAACTCCGTTTAACCGAATAGTCATATAAAGTAAAGGACCCTTTTCCACGCCCTCAGGTGTCTTAGGCATATTAGGCTAGGCCTATATTTTATAAACCAGTCGGCACTCGGTGGGTGATGTGGTTAAAATCACCGCTTTTACTTTCCAGGACTTTACCTGGTACCCATTTAAGACTGTCGACCTGAAGGGCCAAGATAGTTTTTCTTGAATGAAAATAAAAGTCCGGCTCCATCCGGATCTGAATCTATGACAATGGGATCCACAAGCGAGCGTCTAGCATCTACACCACGACGACTCCCGTTACGCCATACAGCAGAGTTATACTGGGGCAGCGTAACTCGTAAATCAGTCAAGTTTATCATAAGAACTTCTCTGTCAGTGTACGCCCGAAAGCGATCACAAGAAGAAGAATACTGGGGCACCACAAAACGGTTATGAAATAACGTTACCATATAACCCAGTGTGGGTGGATGGGTTGTGTGTTGTTATTTATTATATAACCTGCACGGTCCGTGGTGACCGAACAGACGTCGCGTCCTAAAGCTTCAGATTCAATACCCGCTTAAGCCGCGTCGCCATAAGACTGGGTTTATACAGACCAGGGCTGCCAATATAAGGTGACAAAAAACCCAAGCAATACAGAAGCGAAGAACAAAAAAAAAAAAAAAACCAGATTGTTAAAAAGTACAAATTTTAAAGTTACGAAACAAAACCTTCACCCACTTGTATATTTAAAAAAAAAAATAGATTTTTAAAATTTGAACCTAAGGCGTCAAAAAAAAACACAAAAAAAACCCCAGATCTGGGGGTAAAAACCAATCATTGGAAACCCTGATACAGACAGTAAACACAATTTTTATACGACAGACAGGTAAGGCTCGCAGTCGATTCGGTGCCAGTCTGTCCTAGACACCAGGGTATCGTTGAACTAGACAGGTTAGCTAAATCTTGTTGTCACTTGGCGGGGACACTGTCCGGGTGTAGCGCGCAGACTCTTGCCAGAGAATCTGAGAGTCCTGGGGTCTTCTTCTGCTTCTTCTTTGCGTTCAGTTTCGTATGCTCAGGTCAGACCATCAGGTGAGGTCCTGACACAGCCTGGTCCATTTACTACCTTTGCGTATACAAACCCCCCCCCCCCACACACACACACACATCCCCTCCCCCTGCACACAGAATCCGTTACGTGCACATTCACAATTTATTGAAGCTGTAATATGTATGTGTGTGTGTGTGGCGCGTGGAGGGCGTTACACCGTCACAAGATATAAAAAGAATTATACACACACACACACACACACACACACACACACACACATATATATATATATATATATATATATATATATATATATATATATATATATATATATATATATATATATATATATGAGCCGTTTGCCTCGCGCTCTGAGGGCCGTGGTTCGTTTTCACGCTGCGCCGTCCCTTAACATCACGTCGGCCGCCCTTACTTCCCAGAACTTTACCTAATACCCATTTAAGGCTTGGTGTGCCAACGTGATTTAAAAAAACAAAACAAAGTCCGAATTCGTCAGGATCTAAACCCACGACCTTAGGCTCCGCAAGCAAGCGTATACCCGCTATACCACGGCGACTTCAACCCCCCCCCCCGTCCCCCGGGCATATGGTGCTTGAAACCAGTCACCATTTCATGGTTGATATGGTCAACATTATGCCGGTCGCATTGGCTTCCCGATACATTTTCTAGTGTTCAAAAGTCTTTCAGGGCCGAAATATAGCCACCGCGTTAGCGTCTCTCTCAGAGCCGTACTATAAGGAAACTGTTTCTTCGCGTTCACCGGCTGTAAATTCCAGCGGAAAGTTCTGGTTGTTCGTCCACTTCTGGACTGCAGTCCTCCTATTCCAGAACCTGCGTGTTGCGTGTGCATCCGTTTGACAGATCTGACTATTTGTATGCAGACTGTTGATTCCTTGCCTCTCAGGCAGATACACTCTGACTTCGAAGGAAGCTCCCAATTAATCGACTCTTACGACATGCTTTTAGGTAGGCAGTGGGTCTAGTCTTGTTTCCCCTATAATAGGGCCCCGGAACCAACACGGAATAAATATCATGCCACGTCTTTATAGCAGTTACCGTATTTTCCCTTGTAAAACACAGTTTTTTTTTTCTGCCTGAAATGTGCTTAAGATATTTATTTTCAAATTTGGGATCAAAAAACGGGGTCGCCATATATATGGGAATATACTGTGTCTTGTTCTTCTTCTTTAGCATTCTGAGCCCGAAAGGTTTATTGCTGCACAAACCGCCTTATATATCTCTGTGACTGGCCATCTCTTTCCAGTTGATGACTCGAAGTGTTTGAAACCCTCCCAGCCTGTGTATTATCTCTTCACCGTCTTCTTGCTCTGCCTCGCGGTATACTTTCAGTCTCCATTCGGAATTCCAAAGAAGCAACAAATGCGGCAGAAGAAGGAGAAAGAGGTGGAAAAAAAAGAAGAAAAAAAGGAGGAGAAGAAGAAGAAGAAGAAGAAGAAGAAGAAGAAGAAGAAGAAGAAGAAGAAGAAGAAGAAGAAGAAGAAGAAGAAGAAGAAGAGGGGGTGGGGGGGGGGACTTTTGTCTTTTATAAAACTTTTATTTAAACTTTAAGTAACCGATGTTTATGATATAAACAGTTAACAAAGACCAGTCGGCCCGGGACTGAACGAGTTAAAAGATAAAAATAAATATTTTACTACCTACCTCAGGAACATCCTGGCACTTGTGCGATAATCCGTGAATTAAAAACACACACACACACACTTCCGACAAGAAACAAATCAAACGATCTTCGCTTGGTATTACAAATCCCACCACAGTAAAGTAATCCGAAGTGTAACAACTTGACAGCTTTAAGCCGCGGGGATTATACCTCGTCTGCAAACGAGCCAATCTGGCGAGGATGTCGTCGAGTAGCCGAGGCAACATGTGGTCGGAGTCATCGCTGAGATTGCAATCTCTGTAAGCTGTTACAACTGCACTTTCGTTGATCGTAGAATTCGGCTGCTATTGCTTTAAACATACAATGCTGTTCAGTAGCTAGCAGTATTTGAATACCGAATAACACGCTGTTAATATAATGATACTGTTCATTAGGAATAGGTCTTAAAATTAGGAGAAATTAATGCACTGAAATGTGACTATAAAGTATAACGGGGGTGGGTGTAACGTACACACAAAAGAAAAGTTAGACGTTTCGACCAGAGTCTTTCTCGACGAAAGCAGCATAATATCAACAACACAGGGCAGAGTATCCCACACAGGGAGATCACTCGAACAACACGCGAAGTCTAAAAGATTACGTTGTCACTAGACAAAGGAAGAAGAAGTAAAGATGAAGAAGTATACAGTTTAAACTCCGTGATGTTCAGATCATGCAGTATGTCGACGTTTGTTTTTCTTTCTTGGTCAATGGTATTCTAAGATATCTACTAGATTATGTTATGAACATTGGTTCAAAACATTCTGTTATAATTGTCGCAAACAGGCGAATAACATCAAATCATACCGGAATATCTTAATTAAACAATAAATCGTAAAAGAATAACTGAACTAAACGGTAAATCGAATGAGAAAAACCGAACTAAAGAGTAAACCAAATGACAATAACTGAATTGGAGAGTAAACCACACGAGAATAACTGAACTAAAGAACAAACTATTTGAAAATAACAAAACTAAACAATGAACTGTATAAAATTAACTAAACCAAACGGTAGACATTAACAGAAAAATCGAACTATAAAGTACAGCCATAATTCTGGCATTTGAAAACCATAATACTGGCATTTAAAAGCCATAATACTGGCATTTGAAAACCATAATAGTGGCATTTGAAACCCATAAGACTGGTATTTGAAAACCATAATACTGGCATTTAATAGCCATAATACTGGCATTTAAAAACCATAATACTGGCATTTGAAAACCATAATAGTGGCATTTGAAAACCATAATAGTGGCATTTGAAAACCATAATACTGGTATTTGAAAACCACAATACTGTCATTTAAAAGCCATAATACTGGCATTTAAAAACCACAATACTTGCATTTGAAAACCATAATACTGGCATTTGAAAACCATAATACTTGCATTTGAAAACCATAATACAGGCATTTGAAAACCATAATACTGTCATTTAAAAGCCATAATACTGGCATTTAAAAACCATAATAGTGGCATTTAAAAGCCATAATACTGGCATTTAAAAGCCTAAATGCTGGCATTTGAAAACAGAACTTCAATAAAACGTAAATTGTCACTCCTAACAATATATTAACTGCCACATTTCTTCAAGATAATTACAAAAAAGGACAGCTAGGCGGAATTTCCCAACACAATAACGCAATTGGAACTTCAAAAATTATAATAACAATCTTGAATTTCTTCTTTCTTTTCACTTTCATTGTTGTGCTTTCAAAGGCAGCCTAGAAAGAGCTCCGTAAGCACAGAATTGTGTAGTCTATGCGCAAAAAACTGTTAGTTAATACTTGCTATACCCCTAATCCATCACTTAGATGGGCCTGTCTGGATGACTTTCATTCTGTTTAAAACTCATTTCTATGCAGTCTTCGGGAAAAGCCTTGGGAAAACAAAAACTCAATTAATCAGGGCTTCTCAGAGTTTTCTGTTCACCTGTGGCCCTTCTTGTTTAGATTTGATTGTACGTGACACCTTTACTGTGTTATATTCATGGAACGTGCTGATGAAGGTTCACTAGCCGCAATGTTCACTTGTCGTTTATGATAATGTCAAGCTGACTGTTCAACTTTTGTTGAACTCTTTCCCCCATTATATTCTGTTACAACACGAACAGATTCTTCTTCTCCTTTTTCTTTTTTTCCTCATCCTCCTTCTCCTTCTTCATCGCCATCTTCTTATTCTTCTTCTGTCATTCTTTAAAGAACAGTTTGTACCTTATGCTATAATTTACAGCGAGGCTGCGATTTCTCCGACTTTCGGCTCAACGCATCCTTTTTCAGCAAAAATAATTAATCATCTTCTAAACCGAGGGGAGGGGTGGGGGGGGGTGGGGGTGGGGGAGGGGGGGTGGGGGGGGGGTGCTCTCCATGGTGAAGTGGTCAAGCCATTTGCCTCCCGTTCTGGAGGTCGTTGATTCGTTTCATGACTGCGTGGTTCGGTTCACGGGTAAAATATTTATGGAACAAACATGGGGATCGTCGCCGGGGCAACGGAATTCGTGAAATGTGAGACGCTCTCGATGGGCGGCTAGCTCAGTTATAATTAACGGGACCTCCAGAGGGTCGCGTGTGTGCCCTTTACCCATTCCTAGCTGCTTCCTCCTCTCCCCCTTAATTATGCGAGAGAACTTTGAACTATGAATATCTGCATGCCAGTCAAAAATAAAGTAGGTCTCCAAGGTCAAAACGGTTTCCTGGCAGGTTCGTTTGATGGCCGCGTCGTTCAGTTAACCCGTACAATGTCTACGGAAATCCCCCCGTGGATCGTCGCTGGAGCTCCGTTCGTACTTTGTGGCACGACAACATGACCCGAAGGTCTGACACCGTGAGACTAAAGAATCTCACTACAGATGGTAGACCAACAGAGCCAGTCCAGATACCCAATTCAACCTCCAATGAAGCTATAAATCATCATTATCATCGTCATCTTCAAGTGCCTAGCCGACTGGAGTGGGCGATCATACCTCTCCACAAACTGCGATCCGCAACTACGTGTATCAGTCCGTGTGTTGACACCCCCCCCCCCCCCATGCCATGACAAAAGGCTGTCAATAATCTTCTCACACTGTCTTCCTCTGTTTCTCTTTCCACAGATCTTTCCAGTTGTCACAACAAGTTTCCTTTTTCCCCTCTTCTGATCACATGACCAACAAAAATAATGACTGTCTCTTTCTGATGTTGAAGTTATAATAACAGCACCCGTAACCGCTCGGGGCATGACGTCCGCCTCGAGTGCTAGAGGTCCCGGGTTCAATCCTCTGTGAAGGCTGGGATTTTTTCACGTCGTTGACTTCTAGTAATTTCTGCTGTTCTCTTGAGTAGTAATATCGGACGCCCGTGTGTATTGTTGCGCACTTAAAAAACATTCGGCAGTTGGAAATTGAAAAGAGTGGCCTACCGGAGCTGCCCAGGCAAAATTTGGAGTTAGAAATCTACCCAAAGTATTTTTAGGATCCTCACCAGTGCTACAGAGTTCGTGCACTGCACTGAGATTCTTCAGACTCAGACTTGAGTTAGAAGCAGAACGGAGCACTTATGGGTTACTAGCATTGATCCATGATGTTGATCCATTGAGCATGACAATATCCGACATCAAAAGGATGTCGATCCATTGTTTCATCCTAAACCGAACGAAACCACACCACCACCCTTACCCACACAGGACTGTAGGTGACACCTGGCTGCTGTAGCTATTACAGGTGCCATAATTATAACTTCATTTGAGATTGAACGGGATATCGGAGATCTACCCTGTTGGTCTGTCATCTAGACCTAGATCTCTAATCTCAGAATGGTATGGTAAACTTTTAGGTAAGAGCCCGGACCGGAATGAGACTTCATGAGGCATTAGGCTATGTACAGCACTAAGGCCCCTACTGTTTTAGGCTTCCCTCCGAATAACGGTCCTAAATTATCCAGGCGGAAAATATACCTAAAAAAGGGCCTCAGTCACATGTCAATTGCGCACTTCCGTCATTTTAAATTACGCGCGACTTCCGCCGAGGGTAACCCCCACGCCGCGTGGATTGGGGCTAAACTCGATGGCTGGGACTCACGAGCAGCAGTTACCGCATCTCCTGCAGCTTCCTTCATTTTATTTGCTTGGTAGTCCTAGCCATTTAGTTTAACGCCAATCCACGCCGCGTGAGCGGCGTTGGCATACTCATGGCTGCGGCGGAAGTTGCCGGAAGTGCGCAATTCGGCGGTGGCGTTATAGTCCCCGGAAGTGCGCAATCGATACGTGACTGAGGCCCTGTTAGGGTATATTTTCCGCCTCGATAATTTAGGACGGTTATTCGGTGGATAGCCTTGTTTTAAATAGCACTAGCTAATCTTATAAAACTTTAAAATATACACATATTTTAAATGCGTAGAAAATTGACATATATTGTTTAATTTTTATCAAAAGAAATTATTGTGTTTGCAAAATTATTAATTTTATTTTTATTTAAAGGCACCCAGATACAATTTAATATACCCCCCCCCCCCTTTTTCCATTGTCAAAATTCAAATTAATTAATTATATGATCAAAATTGGAAGTTGCTGAGGCCCGTCGGAATATGAGGGCCTAAACTTTAGCTTATGCCTAAATCCAGCAATGAGGAGCACCAGATCGATCGCTACACCAGCTAGGTGTAACATACAGTCCTGTGTGCAGAAGGAACATAGTAAACAGCAACGGTCTCTTCTAGGGAGGGTCACGACCCAGACTTTGAGAACCACTGGTCGTGGTAATTTATTCACAGACTGCAATCCCTAGTGCAGTACTGGTAGTCGTGTTAGATAATAGCAGCCGTGAGCTAACGGTGTCGGCTACTGCAGCAGTGTTTTGACACCTCGGGTAGAACACATTCTTCCCCTCTTCCCTATCATACTGCACAATCAGTGTACACACCGACATATCGATAATCTAATCGATTCAAGCCTGAACAATCGACAGTATAGCAGATACCATCATCGATATACAGGGCAGAGCCATGGCATAGCACCTGCAAGTATGTTAACGTACA